TATATATATATATATATATATATATATATATATATATATATATATATATAGTTTTTTTTGCAACAATGAGTGTCAAGGGGTTATTATCACCACTTTTGCATTTTATTAACTGAAACCTCAAATGGTATTCAGATGTGAAATGCAACAAGCGCAGAAAATTGAGAGGAAGATTAGTGTGAGGGTGAATACAAAGATCGATTAAGCAAGAATTTACATCACCAGTAGTTCAGATTCAATAAAAAAAATGTAGCAACCACATAAATGTAAAGAAAGCAGTGCAGCCAAGAGAAAAGCTACAAAATGAAGAGAATGGATTGTTTGGAATAAATTAACTTTACCTAAACTACTTGCACAGACCGCAGTATTTAACATAATCAATTTTTATCATAATGATGAAGTCATATTTCCTGAACTTTACCACTGCTCTACAAAGATATGTTTTTATTTCATTAAAGTTATTTCTTTCAAACATTTTATGATCAACTCACCATAGAATCCTTCTCCATCAGCACTGCCCTAAAGCACAGTTAAACAAACTTAACCAGTGCGACTGGCTCATCTAGAGAGGATTGAATTCACCTGCCCAGTCATTCCTCCTGTGTGTTAGCCCAGCAGATGGGCTATAAGGAGACCAGGTGATCATCTCTCACAGAAATTTGACTGATTGAACAGAAATCTCATCCATTGCTTGTGATAATAAATATGCTCACCTTTACGTTTCAACCGTCCCTAGAGGATCTACTTTGCTCATAAATATATGTCTTCAGCATTTTTCTCGTTCTCCTTGCACTTTCTCCAGTGCATGCAGATGCTGCAGCAGAACTGCAGCAAAACTACAATTAGTGTGGAGATTATAAATGCAGGATCCTAGAACCTTAAAAAGATGAGTCTCCAGGTAAGCGACTTCTTAAAGATAAAAAGAAAATTGTTGAAAAAAAAAAACTTAATCTATTGGTGCCTAAAGAATATATAACAGAATTAAATAAAACAGGAACAAAATGGTTCAACTTTACATTTCGGGAATGCTTTGGTTCCTTTTTTTTTATTCTTTTTTTTTAACACTGTTGATGCACAAGTGAATTGTGATGAATAAGAAAATAATAAATATGACTCATTTCCTTTCCTAGTTGAATTCAGAAAGTTAATTTATTATGACTTTAAAGAGCTTTATGTTCCTGAAAGATTATATATACGTTATTCTGACATGGCCACAGAGAGAAGAGAGAGAAAACGGAGCTAAGATCAAAAGATCAGAAATCAAAGACGTCTAATAGAACTAAATGCAGGGTGTCCACATCCCTCATGCTGTACATTTGAATCTTTATAGGTTACGTCCCACAAAAAGTCAACTTTTAGTCTAATAAAAAATACACTTTTCTGCCTGCAAAATGATGCAGACTACTGGTGGCTTGACAGTTGTGTGGCAAACAGTCACTGACACCATAAAACCCTCCCACAAGACAGAAAACTTGGTTTGAGGTCTGAGGTACACAGGCTGCCTTAAGGTTGAGTAATGCTTGGAAACAACAGGCACAGAAAAGGAGCCAGCTGACACACTGTCTACAGCTTTTATATTTTTCCTCCAACAATCTGTTAATAGAGGTTGCATTTATGAGCTAAATCACAGAATGTCTTTATTAGCAAACTCTTGCTAGTAGGAGCTGTTGCTCACTCACCATGTTTTTCTGCCCAGATCTGTCTGCATATGTATACATTTTCTTAGGTTTACTGTTCATACTGACACCATGTGGAGAGGTGAAACCCCAAAATGACATAATTTGGATCTCCAAGCCTCTTGGATACATAAAGCATAGACTGAATTTACAAGGTGCTGTCTATGGCTGGGGTCAGAGCTCCAATAGCCATTGCATGCATTGTCAGAACAAGGAATAATTCACATTCGCTGTGTAAAGCCATTCCTTTATTGAAGGAAAGAAATCTGAGATGTTAACTATTAAGGCTATGGAGCAACACGATAGATGTTTTGGGAAGTTCCCCTTCTCAGATTAAAGTTAATGTGGTTTGTCATAAAAAAATCCAAGGTGCCAGAGTCTGTAAAAATATTTTCATGAGTAATAGAATCAATATTGATTATATAGCGCTGAACTATTTTAGAAGCTGAATTCAAACTTTATGGAGATGCTGGGACCTGCCCCCACTGTCAAAAGAAACACACCCCAGTTGAATAATCACGGTATGACTGCATTTAGCCATGCCTGATGAAGAATCTATATTGCGGAAAAAGAGAATAGGAGATAGTGGACGAAACAACACCTAGAAGGTGGCCATAATAGCATCCTGAACTGCATCCTGAACTGTAATGTAACTCATGAAAGTAAACAAAGCCAAGCTGCTCTTGCTTGTAGCTACGGAATAGGGCTGGATGATAATACCTCAAATAAATATCATAATAAATTGGTCAGTTTGAACTTGATAACGATGAATGCAAGATAAAGCTTCAACTCCTCTATCAGAAATAAAGGCATGTATAGGAAATGCAACTGATCAATTTATAATTTATTTATTGAATAAATCACATTGCATATTACAGTAATTTTAATTAAATATCAAGTCTTGTACCCATTCAGGTTAAAACATTGAACAAAGGGTCATTGAATAGAAGAATAATGTTACCTCTTCTGCAAACATTTTTTTTGCAGAAGTAATGGAGCCTTTTGCACATCTTTGGGCTCAACAGCATGGTTGTGGTGTAGGTGGTGGATGTTGAATGTGTTACTTTGGGTAGTCCTGAAAGTTTTCAGACAAACTTTGCATTTCGTGTTCTTTTGCTTAACATCGATGCCGTAATTGTGGTGCCACAGATCTGCGTGTGTAGTGAGAACAATGCGCATCGTTTAAACTCGCAATCCCTCATTAAAAAAACGGTCTGCGGTGCACTCATCTCTGACAAAATGCTCTCTACTTCTTCTCTGCGCTCCCAGCTTCCTCTCTGCTCTTGCTCAGCTCCACAGGATTAACTGATGTAATTTCTTTATATGGAGCTAGATCGGTCTCAATTCTCAGAAATACAAATATGTGATTCATACATGCACAGGACAAGACCAGCACATGCACGGAATGATTCACGCAAGCACACAAGATCCACACATGCACAGAACAAGATTCACCAAAGTATTTCTGGTTCATAAACTATTATACATTAAATTACAAAGTACCAGTGGTCTTTAAACTTCACTGCATTTGTGTGTGGATTTTTGAGACTGCCCTGAAACAATCAGAGCATCCAGAGAATCGATGCGTCAAAGCGAGATGACCAGCGTTTGACGCAGCATACACATTTTGGTGTTAGGGTTTTTGATTCCAAAAATGTGTTCGGTGTGAACGCAACATTTAACACTTTAGATTCTCAAACTGACTAAATCAAAACTGCACAGCATTGATACAGCTGAACTTTTACGTGCATTTACTGTACAGCATACAGATATGTTTTAGAGTCTCAATATTTGTTATTTAAAATCTTTTGGAACTTGATGAGGCATTAAGTGAATTTATTGATGTGAATGAATATAAAAATATTGTTGCTCAGATCTCAGTGGCAAACAGAGATGAGAATTGCTGATGATGATAGAATGGGCAGATTTATGAGAGGAGAGATATCTTCCCCCGGAAGTGGACTGGAGATAAAGGAAAAGGGGAGCTGATTAAAGAAGCAGGTAGATCGGGGTAGTGAAGGGGCCGGAGATGGGTTGCAGCTTGGTTTTATGACAGATAGAAATACAAAGAGGTCCTTCAAAAGGAAAGTCTTGAATGCAATTGGCAAATTAGGAGGCTTCCAGAGCAGGAGAAGGCTGGATCGAGACTATGCGGCTGCCGGAATGAGCAGGTAAGGCTAGGCAGATTCTTACATATTGAAAATATGCCTAAGATCTGTTTCCATAGTACTTATTAACATTTAACTTTGCTGAGAAGCTGAATTGTAGGTTTTCAGTAGCTGTAACTCATCATCTAAATGAACAGAAATTAGCACTTGAAAACTATCCTTCTTTGTGGAATAACTCTTTTTAAAAAAAGGATTTCCCTTCACTTACTGTGTTTTTTGAATAGACTTCAATGATATTCCTTTTTTTTAGAACACTGTTTATGTTTTTATAATTATACTTTTTTTATAAACCTTAATCACAGTTTAACCTGTTTCATTTTTTTTTTTTTTTTTTTTACCATTTTACCAAACAGGCTTCACAGATAAAGTTAGAAAAAATGTACATCTACTGTCTAAAATAATTTGGAAGTAAAATAAAAGACTTTGAACTAGTAACAAAAAAGCACAACATGTACACCCCAGTTTGCCCAGGCTCACACTGTTACGCTGCAGTCAGATATTACAAAGGAACCCTGTGTGCCCAAACACAAGGTCAGAGCCAGTTTATAGCAGTGTGGTGCATTTAATTTTCTTTTGAAACTGTTGTAAGTCTACTGGCATTATTACAGAGCATCCCAGCCTGAAAGCAATAAGCATGAGATATAGAACCGCTAAAAACTGCACTCCATAAATATTACTACTGTCGTTGCTTTCTGAAAAAGTTTTGTTGCTCTAGTTTTTCCCTGGTGGACCTTATTATGAATAACAGACTCTGACGGTTTTAAGACCCCAAGGAAAGGGATGGATGTATAATACAAGACTCTCAAACATTGTTCAGATTTACAGCAAAAATTCATGATCTATCATTTTGATTTAAAAATATTAAATGGAACACAGTGACAAATATTGCAAACATGTTGCAAGTGTCTCAGTAAAAAGTGTAATACTTCTGATTCAGTTTGGGACACATTTGATGCAGCGTTAGAGCTCCCCGCCACTCATTCTCTTTGCTATCCTTACAGCGTTATTGTTGTTGCAGCGAGCGGAATAAGTTCTGAGGCCCCACATCCTCTACTGATGCATTCGCACATTGTACTGACTGTTGACGGCATGTGGTTTTTGTGGGTGAAATGTAAGGGTAGGAGGAACAGAAGGAAAACATAAAAAATATGGATCTTACCTTAAGAAGTTCTTGAGTACGTCAAACTGAACAAAGAAAGAAGAGAAAAGAAGGGGCAAAATAAGGGGAGACAAGGAGGGAGAGAGGAAAACATATTGTTATAAGACCACTGGTTTAGGCTTAACAGCAGAAACAAGCTATTAAAGAAGTTAACAATATATAATAACTGTCAAAACACACTGGATTCAATTTGACAATGATCTGAGACAAAACATTAGATCATGTTGGGTTTCCATAGCAGTTACACTATCTTAGAGGGAATTTGGCTACCAAGACTTCTTGCTGTTTTTGATTATGTTGGTTGCAAAATTGTTTTTCCTTGGCATTTTAAAAGAAGAACATTGAGCGTTTCAATGTCTGGAACTAAAGAACAGAATTGATTTCTATACAATATAATTGTCTGAGAATTTCTGAAAACTACTTAGGTGGATTCTAAATCTGCTTAATCTAGCCTATGATCTTTTTGAAAAAATTGGATCCCCTTCTGTTCTATTATATAGTATTTTCTATATTTCATCAATTTATAAATGTATACAATAATACAATATACTGTAAAAATAGTTAACATAAAATCTGATAATCAACAAATACATGGGAATATTTCCTTTTATTTCCTGTAATTGTGTTTTAGAAATAGAAGAGACTAAACTTAATGAGATACTATTGGTAAAGGTCATGTAGTCATAGTTTACCGTGGCTGTTTAAAACTCTTTTCTTTTAGTGAATGTCTGCCAGATAATTTTAAGTAGGTAATTCTTAGAGACTGACTAATATTCTATAGCTGTACAATGCAGTGGCAAATAGCACTAACCCCTCCCCCACCTGTTTCTGTGACGTGTTGGTCACACCTTGCTGAAAAAAAGCAATAAGTGATAATGATACTAAGCATTTCAAATCGGAAACAACACACAAAGCACATACTGTGGTGCAGTTGGGTGAATGTAGCCTAGTCTCTAGGGAGACTGTTTTCTGCAGCCTAGGCATTTAAGTGTTGGTATCAAAATACACTAAGGAAGCAAATCAGCTCCAAAGGCACACAGAGGTTGCTGCTTTTCTGAACTGATGAAAACACTTCTCAGAGCCATCACTGAGCTACTTCCATCTTTTAAAGTCGTAGGGAAGCGGCTGTTCCAACGGTGGCAGTTCCGAATTCTCCCGAGTGGTGCCCAACTTTACACGAGGGAATAAAGTAAATGTGATTGGTCGATTATCAAGGGGGCTGGGTTGTTGTGGCGGAATGTTCGCAACCAAAATGTTCGCCGGGACGAAGTTGTTGTGGAAGAGGACGCAAGGGCAGCAGAAGCTTGGTTTGGTGTAGAAGGCTTACAGCCGTCCATGTTGGAGCCCTTGCCTCACAACGCTGCCATTTCTGTTAGCACAGATATTAAGACAGGATTTTTTTTTTAATATAAATTTTCAAACTTTTGGGACAATATGGTCGGATAAAGAGTTCATTTATATACATGTTTAAGCCAGAATTATTTGAAATTTAAATATGACTTCCCTACGACTTTAATGCCTGAGCTTTGTGTCATGTCTGGCCAGTTGAAGTTACTTGAAGTTACTGGTCTACCTTTGCCCACCCACTTGTGGAACAGTGCTGCTTTATAAGTTAAATAGAGTCATCAAGAAAAGCAATTGTACCTTTCTAAATCATGACTCTTGATGTCTTAATGGGAAAGCCTGGTTTAAGAAGACATACCACTTTCATTCTAAATTGACTGCAGCAGATCCAACGAAAAAATATAGTTTTACCAATTGTTATGGAAGATTCTGTACTTATAATAGCTGAAGACTTCACATGAAAAATATACAATTTTACAATTATGTAATAATTGTATAATACAATTGTATTTTACAATTAATACAAAATTACAGCATAAGTAGCCTTAATTTTAGCCCCTAAAACAAGATAATTATATATATTTCACTTGATTTATTTTAGGTGCAAAAAAGAAATCCCTTGGCACATCATTTTATTTTCCTAGACAAAGTGTAAATACACATTTCAAGGACATAGAGTACTAATTATAGTTCACTCTATGCAGTGTTGTAACTAAATCCATCAGCCCATGAAAATTAAGCTTTAAACGGTCTTTGTGCTCCCTCCTCTGTTTTTGTATATTTAATGACTTTGTTTAGCAGCAACGTTTCTCAAAGCCGTTCCAGTTCCATGCAGCCTTCTCAGTCCAGGCATTTTACTCGAGCATCAGAACCTTGTGAATCAACCTGAAACTGGGCCTGTAAGTCGAGTTCATCCTTTAAGGAGAACAATATTTAATCAAGGATTTTGTATCTCTCCCATATATTCTGTCTTCTTTTAGTTTTCAAGGCAGCTTCAGCTCCGTCTACGATGAAGATTGCTCCAAGGCTGGCTACAATACAGTTTAGCTGGGAAAAAAACACCTAATGAATGTGTATAAAAATTTTCATTGGCTGATCGCAACATCAGAAATATATTACCCAGTGCTAATTATTTTACGGCTGCTGAATATTCAGAAGGAATCAGAAGAGGTCTAGTGATGGTAGACAAGAATGTCTGAATTTCTAATTACTTTCCTATTGCAAAATCACAGCATACAATATATAGCATTTTAATACAGCATGAAGCACAAAACACAGTCAGAGTAAGGCAGTGATAATTAAACCAACAAAGAGCACCGTTTGTTAAATCTAGTTGAACTTTGGATCTTTTCACAAAGAAGGTTTTCCTAATGGTATTTCATCCTCACTACATGCTCCTCTGCGATTTCTGTCATATTGTCCACCTTTAAAAAAATTTTGTGAATATTGTGAACATGTTTACGCTTTAAATTATTATGTCCATAATATCTCATATTGGCACATCTCTACTACGTTGTAGAGGAAAAACCTAGGAGGACAAGAGAGCAGCAAAGTGGGAACAAGTATCTGGAGAGGAGAGTCTGAGAGGGTTGCTGTGTTTAGCTGCGCCATCTCACCTTCCTTAAAGTGAAAATGAGAAAGTATTTTTATCTTGTCTACGTAAAAAAAAAAAGGTGCCTAGAAGTTTGTGAGTCTGAGTGTGATAAAACATGTTTAGTTGTGTGTGCATGTAACAAAACGAGATGTGTGCGTGCTTTTGTGTCAGCATCTCTAATTAGCTGAGACAAGCAGGTGTAAAACAGTAATTAATGGTACAACTGACTGACTTCATTATCTCTATGTGAGCTTCTCATGCTGCCTGAACAAACACAAGCATACTAACAGGGGGAGTATTCAAGGAAACATTACAACATATTTTTTTTATGGTGTGAGTGCGCTATTTGTGTGTTTAACGGTGAAACTGCAAAGTGTAGATAAATGGACATAATCTCTGCACAGGTCACTGCTTGGCTACTTGAAAACTCTCATTTAGCTTTCAAATGGACTCATTACTAATGAATTGCAAGCTGCTTTAGACCAAGCTGAGCACACAGTAATGGTTTGGCCATCTTCCACAATTCAGCCCTAATATGCTCGTACACGCACTCTCACGTTGACAGAGATTGAGAGCGAGTGTCCAAAAGCCCCAATTACCTTCACGTCCAATGTAAGAGAACAAGCTAGAGAGCTAATTACATATAACTCACATGCAAGATGGAAAACGATCAAGCACCCACACTCTTAGGCAGGGTAATTTGTTGCCAGAAATAAAGGATTCTTGTGTTTTTGACTTCAGTTGTTAATGTTTACAACAATGCGTTCAAGAAAATACGCCCGTGTCATTGCATTATTACCATAAGTCATTATTACACCCCCCTGAGCCCAATAAGCTTTATTAAATCATCAATAAGACTGTATAATTTAATGGTCCCGGTTTTAGCCAGATTGATTTACACTTCAGTGCTCTGCCAGGCCTGAACGAGATCAAATGAAACTCGATGCCTCCAAATGCAGCATGTTGTCATCGGGTAATTGGAATAAATATGCTTTTTTAACTATCGTTCAAGCACATTCAGCTCATAGTGGTTTGCCAGGATGAAAATATTGCTGCTGCTCTTTCCTGCTCTGGTGGGTGACTGAGTGAGTGAGATGGCAGTGATCGGGCAGAGTAATTTGACCTAATGAATATGTCGACAGCCTGTTTCTTTCTCTCCCCATTAAACACTGCTGGATTAGATTTACTGTGCTTACTCTAACAACTTAAAGACTCCATCAGTACGCCACTTTCCACTCTCGTAAGCACACACACACAAATACACGCACACACAAACTGGCCTAGCTCAGTAGATCAATGGCCTCTTGGTCAATGTCTCCTTTGGGAGGCTTATCCATCAGCTCCTCACTAATGAAACAATCTGATCACTGTGTCTGTGTGTGTGTGTTTCATGACAGTGTGTGTATGTGTGCATGCTTTTCTGAGTGTCAGATGGGAGTAAAGGCACATGAATGTGGTGTCATGTTGTTTACTTGTAGGTTAATTACAGCTTGCATCACTTAAACACTTTAAGCTTCTTGTACATTGTAAGTACATTTTGCAAGCTCTCAATCAGTGTTCAACAAGAGAATAATTTGGTACCAAGAAAACAATTGCTGTCATTGTGAAATATTCTCTTTTGTGGATCTTATGTTTGGTAGACCTGTGCAAGATCGAAGCAGTAGTGCGAAGGTGATTTGTGGTAAAATCAGTGGATCAAAGCCACCAATATTACAGCCGAAACATTTAACACAATAAGCAACACAACCAATTTACTAAATGTTAGCATGACCTGAGAGCACATAATGGAAGCTGACTGTGCCTGAAGCTTTTTTCTTTCCTCACTGGAGACAATATTTCATCCTTCAAGATGCATTCTATTCATACTCGGAAGTCAATCATTCCAAGATTCTGATCTGAGAATCTGAAATGACAGAAAGACCCTTTTGTGCTTTCCAGAGCAAAAAAAGGCCAGGTTTAAAAGCCTTAAATGGCCAAGCTCCATCTTATATCAGAGATCTGATTGTTCCTTAGGTTACTAACAGAGCATTTCACTCTCAATCTGCAGGTTTACTAATGGTTCCAAGAATTTCTAAAAGTAGAATGGGA